TGTAGAGGTGGCACTTCAGGGCATGCTCTAGTGCCCGAGGTTGTTGGGTTGTGTCTGTTTGTGGAAGTTTGGGGGATTTTTTGTTTGTTTGCTTGGTTTGGTTTGTTTATGTGGTTGGACTCGATCTCAAAGATCCCTTCCAACCATGAAGATTCTGTGATTATTGCATACCAAGTTAATTTACCAGCAGCTTCATTTAAAAACCTACAACTGTGCACAGAAATGAAGAAAATGCACCAGAACTTGGCATCAGGTACCACCAGAAATGGAGAGGTACATGGAGAGGGCATGGAGAAATGGTCCTTGCTTATGAAAGGGCAGGGTTGACTGAGAACTGTAGTCAGCCAAGTAGAGTGAGCACTGTCAACAGCAAGAGGAGGGAGGAAGTGTGGGCCCTTGGTCTAACAACCAACATCACGTAAACACTTTCACAATGTTAATTTTTGCTAGCTAACAACACAAAAAAAAGTAGAAGAAGGACAAAGCATGAGGACCAGTGCTATTAACAGCATTGTGCAGTTTGGGAATCTAGAGTGGGGGGGGAAAAAAATGCATCAGCCCAAAAGGATTAAGATGAGGATGTTAATTTGTGGGGTTATGGTGTCCTTTATAGTTAGCTTGCAGACTGCAAACGTGATACTGAGTAATGTCCCCTCTGAAGACTGCTGGAAAGGTAGGTCACAGCATGTGTCTCTGAAGGAGAGAAAACTTACATGGTTCCTTCTAATCTGCTGGAGCTTGCAAATAAGACCAGATCACCTTAAAAATAGATAGACAAAAAAATCCCAGCGAGTTATAAAGTATGACTCGCAACCCTTTTCCCAGTGGGCTTGCAGGAAGAGAAGCTGATAAGAACCAGCTCTCCATCTTTTGTTGGTCCTTTGCCAGCCATCCCATTTTAGATGGCAGAAGAGGACCCTAAGTAAGACTTTCTGAAATAAGACTAATTTCCCTCCCTCTCTCTCTCTCTAAGGCATTTTGCCTCCCAGCTTTAAAGGAGAATAGAGTTTCTGAGAGCTCTATATTAGGACTTCTGCAGCTGCATTAGTTTGATCACTTTTCTCCTGAGATTATAAAAAAAAAACAAACAACAAAAACCAACCCAAAAAACAAAAGCAATGTCACAGTCCTCAAATTTACCTTGTATTAAGTACTTGTGTCTGAATATGAAGCAAGTATAATATCCTGTCTTAAATGAACATCAGCCTGAGTAAAACCTAGTGGCTGGATCTCTCTGCCCTAAAGGCTTGTGCATGGAATTTGTGAGTTGGGTTTAATATGAAAAATTAAATTAGGCAAACCTCTGATACATACATACATAGTTATTCATCAATACCACTGCTGGTACTGCATCCCTAAAAGCATCTATATGCTGCTGCAATTATGCTTCAAATAGGGAATTTGGATTAAAGCCCCTGAAGAGAGCTGCTGGAAGGTATGAGGACAGAGTTAGCATGAAGGTCAGGCCCCTAAGTTTTGCATCAAGTAAGTTGTGGAGTAACTCAAACTGATATATTTCCAGACTCCTGACAGTCTAGAGCAGTGGTCTCCCAATTTGGGCAGAGCATTAAATAAACTTTAAAAAAAAAAAATATTATAGCATTTATTTCATCTTTAAAATAGGGAATTTGCACTAAAGCCCTTGAGGAGAGCTGCTGGAAGGTATGAAGACAGAGTTAGCATGAAGGTCAGGCCCCTAAGTTTTCCATCAAGTTAGTTGTGGAGTAACTCAAACTGATATATTTCCAGTTTTTCCACAAACTCCTGACAGCCTAGAGCAGTGGTCTCCAAATTGGGGTGGAGCATTAAATAAACTTTTAAAAAAATATATATAATAGTGTTTATTTCATCTTTCTCTCATCGTTTTTTAATTGCTATTTTTGTGTACGGTTTATAAGGTACATAACATTAGAACAGTAGTAGATGTATATAGTTTCTAAATAAACATATATGGAGGGGTAGGCTCAAAAATCTTTGTACTGATGGGGTGTGCAATCAAAATAGTTTGGAGACCATTGGTCTAGAGCTGGGAGGAACACTCCAGGGGGCTTGTCTGACCATCAGACTTCCAGATTTTGGGACCAGAATTGCCAAACACCCCAGGCACATGCAAACAAGCCAAAGAAGCACTGACAATGAAAGGAGTTGTACAAGCAAGACTGAGGTGAGGTTGCATTGCTAAATTCAGACTTTTAGCCAAAAAAAACCACCACCTTGCTCCATGCTGAACCCTTGCCACGTGGCATAGCAGGCAGAAATACCCCCAGCCCCCCAACACCTGGAAAACAAGAGAAAAATATCTGCTTACGCTGCCTTGGTGTCTTTTGTAAAAAAGACACATTCTCTCTTCTTAAAGTTTTCTTGGATGAAGTTGACCAAATCCTTGAAAATAATTTGAAGAACGTTTACTTCTGGTAAGGCATACAACTGAAGCAACCTCAGTAACAGCATGATAAGTTTAAACACAAAGAAAACTAGTATAAATTCCTAAATCGCCTTTCTCAAAGTGGGTGGTGGGGAGCAACTAGAAAGCATTGATGGGAGGTGAGTGGACAAAAAAGACTACTAAAAATCACATACAGGCATTCAAAAAACATGTAATATCAATATTTTTATATCTGTCAAACACAATATATACTAAAGAGGCAAAATGTATGGCATTCTCCTCCAAAAAAATACAACAATCTTGAACAGCAAAACTGATTTGATATCCTCAGACTGGATGGAGAGCCTATTTTTTTTTGTTATTTCAACTTTTAATCCGAAAGACCCACATAGAAAACATGTTACTTGAATTCAGTGGCACAATATGGTTAGGGGTAGGCTACAGGGCATTTCTGTTTGCATACACCACCATGTTTCCAAATAATTTGGGGCACTGCCAATATTTTTCAAACAGTGGTTACCTCTGGTCTAGGTACTGCTTAAAAGACCATGGCAAACACTGTTTCTCCCCAAGGGAGAGTTGGAAGAAGAACAAAACAAAACAAGAACAAAACAAATCAAAAACAAAACAAAAAAAAAACCCCAAACAACAAAAAAAATCAAATTTAAAAAACCCAAACAAAACCCCCCACCAAAACCAAAACAAAACCCCAAATATTAACATCCTTTTGGGTAGGGGCCACTTGAATTCAACTCAACTAGACCACAGCAGGAGACCAGAAGGACTGAAGTCACTCATTACATGAGCTCAGTGGAATACAAAGTCTCCTCAGCTTGTTTGACCATTAACTCTCCTATTAACCTTGAAAATCCACAAGTGTAGGCAAAGCTCTAAAATTTGGGAGAGGCAAATTCATTCCTAACCTGCCTTTGCAAGCCAGGAAAGCAAAAAAAAAGTTTCTCCCTTGTGGAGAAAGGTTTGGAGGTTTGGCTTTTTGTTGGTTTTAAGTTTGGGTTTGCAAGCCAAGATTTAGCTTGGGATGAAAGCTGAAAAGGGAGGACGTACAGCTATAGTTAAGTTCACCATTTTGACAGAACACTCGTGGTTAAAATGAAAGCTGAAAAGGGAGGACGTACAGCTAGAGTTAAGTTCACCATTTTGACAGAATACTCGTGGTTAAACAGCAGTTAGAGGGAGTCATTCCAAGTGGAAAAGTATTTTTTAAAAAAGGCTATAGTATCCAAAACAAAGAAAATGGAAGAGAATGTATTTAGCCAGAATGAGACCAAAAGAAACACACAAGACCAAAAAATTAAAAAGGAGGGGGAGCCACTTGCTAAAGACCTAAGAGCTAGTCATTAGGCCTCTTTGGAGCCCATCAGAAGCAAGAAATCTGCCAGACAATCCCTGCCATCAGCAAATGATGGAGGCTTTTCAAGGGTTGTTTAACATAATTACATGTTGTCTGCCTTTGCCATCAATTCTCCTTAAGAGTTGGGGGCTCTTCTTTATAGAGATGGAGGATTTGTCTCTCACTGAAACGTGAAATAGGATTTTAAACCAGAAGTGACTAAGGGTGTACAATAAAGAGTGAGATGGATCAAAAGGAATGAAGTCCATCCATCTGCTTCTGCTTGAAGGGAAACTTCTCCTTAAAGGAGAACTGACAAATCAACCATCCTTCTCCTGACATGATCTAACCCACAGCCCCTGGGTTAACACCCAAGCTTACCAAGGATGTACCAGATACTCACAGCATCACTGG